CACCAGAGACTGTCTACAGGAAACCGGTAGGGAATAAAACTGCATTTTATAATTTTTATTGTTATTTATTGTTAATATGCATGGTAGCTCACAGCGACTACGATTCTAATGGAAGATATTACGTACACTTCAGCTGTCTGCCCTGCGATTATTCAAAACAATATGAAGCAAGTAATTTAAATAAACATCAAAGATTTTAACTCCAACGCAAAACTTAATAATGTCAGTCACGTTTAAAAAATTTTGAATAAGGCAAATATTTGTGCGGTTGATTAAACAACTCTGTAACCAATTTGATCTGTAAAACACTATTTAATTATTATAAGGGTAAGTAAAGTTGTTAAGTAAATCTCCAAATAAACACCATTGCACTGCATTTTAGACTCATTTTTATTACAACAAAGTAGGTATTATCTTTATTGTATATCGTTCGATTTAGTAGTACAAGTTTACTGTTTTACCTAAATGAACCATAAACATCCTAGTGAACCTATCAGTATACCGGACCACCCATGCGCTACGCCCGTATACACCCGTTTGTAAAGCTCCGGTGTTAATCTGTGACGGTACATTCAATTAGATTTCATGCACAGGGAAGGCCTGTGCACCAGAAGGAGGATATTTATATACTTATCATATTTATTGGCCCGGCATATCCCTGTTGTTGCAACTTTATCATTCCGTAGACTCATCCTGAACGTTCCTTCCCACTAACTAATACAACCTATTCCCGAACGCACTTTACGGAAACTGTTTGTAGCCAACCATTCATAATCCATCTCTCCCGGTCAATAGTCAAGGCTCGTACCTTCTTTAAGAGTTTTACAAACTTAATATGCGAGCTACAAAGTGCAGTGGGCATCCTGTTCACTATCTTGACCTTAAATATCTTGATTTATGATGCATTATATATTTTATTATTCTGACGTAGATCCTCATATTATACCATATATATTAACTTATTTGTTAGATATTATAATATATAGTATATATAAGACATTTAGAAGTTACGATATCTTCTTATATTTTATCAAATCATACTAGTGAATGTCATTATGATTCATAATCGCAGCGCAGACGACGACATAATATATGGAATAATAATTACATAGCTACTATAATGCGATTACAATACAACAAATGTTATATTCTTGCAAACAACCACAGCGGCCCGCGGAGGAAATTATAAACGAATCGTCTTGGCACACCAATTGACAGAAAATACATATACAATAATATACGAGACAACAACGTACATACAAAATTCAACACTATCACCAACGCGTAAAGATCATTTTAACTCATAAGGGAATCGGTGGGTGGATACACTTCAGGCCGCTGTAATTGTTTACACTATAAATTTAATTATATATTATCTTTTATCTATATTAAAACTGCACAATTTATTTAATCTTCGATTAAAATGCCATCTCCCAGCCAGACACATTTAGGAAATTATGTCAAACATTTATTTTTAAATTTTCTCCTATTTCTATTCTAATAATAATAATGACGCATTATATTGTAATCACACTTAACAGTTATACAACTCAATATCGGAAGTAACACTTAAATTACCTAATTCTATATTACACTTTTCAAATACCAACAGATCATTCGGATTCTACTTAATATTATCTATAAATTAGTAATTCTATTATAATTGTGATAAACAGATTTACAAGCACAAATAAATAGTGAATCACTTAGAAATTAGAAACATACATTACATAGAACTCATTAAAATTGACTAACAAATCAAAGTGTCCATGTTCCCTTACTAGAAATAACGAAATAAATATAACACACTGAGAAATAGTTCAATTGCAATAATGTCAATATCATGAGCTAATAATCAAGAAGATACATCAGAAACGTTCGTAATCAATTCTCATTCAAATAGAGCATTTAACATAACGCTCAAATGTCATGAAACTGCACTAAGAACTGCTCGTTTATTATACAATGTAGACAAAGAGTAAAAATCGAACAACAATGTCACTATTCAAAAATACTCAACAGTAAATCATATTTACCCTGTTTAGAAGACATTGTATATCTTAAAAAGTCGTCACCTCAGCCTTTTTCAATGATATCATTTGGTTAATTATTTTTTATTATTATTATCGTATTGGCGATACTCGCCAGTGATGAAACAAGACGCATACGAATAACACAAAATGCAGTCTCTTAAAAATACTGATACCGTTCATTTATATAATAATCATTAAAAAATAATTAGTTTTGAATTAAAAACTAAGTGGAGAATACAAGGACACCACCACAGACGAGTATCACCAATCGGTCAGTAGTAATACACTAATTTGCTAAGGGTTCTATTCGATACAGGGTTTTAAAGTAAAAAGAAACGCAAAAATCTAATATAAATAAAAGCAACATAGATATCGGGACTCGCGGTAGACGGACAAAACGATAAATTCATTTAATCTTACGGCTAGGAGGGGGAGATTTACACATAATACACAATTTTTAAATAATATATTTCAATTCTATTCTTGAGGTATTACCGTTCCACTCCAAAACGATGTAGTGGTAGTGGTGCTATACGTGCGTATAGCAGTGTCTCACTTAGACAACGATATTTGGTACGTTTAAGAGTACACGGTAATACCTACCTTCATAATAAAATTTATGGTACATAATAATAAACCCTACACAGTAGGAAAGTCAAAATAAACCGTAAATATTATGATACAGGAATCGATCAGCGATAAACGTTTATTCGAGGAAAGTAAAATGCTTCAAATGCAAAATACAGATCAACATGGAGGCAACACCATTTATAAATTTGTTCTAAAAGATAAAATCTAACTACCAATAGAATATAACGTATATATCGTACCATCGTTTCAATGTCTAAGCATCACATCGTAATTTTTGAATTCTTTTCAATACGTGTGTATATTTATATATATTTGCCTGACTTGTAATTTCATAAAATTACTAATTCCTTAACCGCCCGTCGAACACTAGACTTTATCATATAAAAATTAAGGTATACAAGTCCATAATATACACTAGACATGGCACAGCCTGTCCGAAACATAGAATAATATTCAGGCGAAGATCATTTCCTTTCCTAGAGAAATCTTTTTTCTTCTATTTATTTAAATTCGGTATTTCACCGTGCAGCCAGTCACTTACACGTTTACATAGAAGACTACTATAAAATATACATTAATGAATAGAAAATATTACATTTTTGGCATGGTATCGTGTCAATGACGATTTTGAAACTTATATTACGTAGACGTAAAGTCGTAAACGCCACTGCCATAGATTATAGCAACCGCCCCTCTATCGGTTATTTCCTAATTCCCAAGCCAACGTATGGCACCAACTGTGGAAAGGTTAAATGTATTTACACAGGTATGATTTATTTTACGGTACAACTTGATATTCTCTCATCTATTTCTATAAAACATCAAACACCATTAGTGTTGCAAGTTGGTTCCAAAGTTGGCGTAACATGTTTTCATTGGACGAACAAATTGTCTTTAAAGCAATTAACACTAGTGGTATAGTTCACACGACGCCCCTTCGTGTTTACATATTATACTTAGTTTTGTTTAGTCCGAGTTGTAACGTAAGATTCTGTTCCTTTAACATCACAAACATATATTTAAACTCACATACTTTTTAAAGTTAAATGCACAAGATAGTATATTCTTAGTATAGATCTTAAATATATGTAGAATGACTTAACAGTAACAAAATGTTTCTGTTTCTTTCTTTCTTTTAAAAAGTTCTTTAGGAATACAGATTCACTGATAAATTTTAAGAGGAAAGCGAAAGACGCCTTTCTTTTTTACAATTAAGTACAACACAAATAAAATATTTAAAAACTAACTGCTTTCAATATCTTTATCGTCGTCTAATTTTAATATTGTGAATGTGTTAAAGTACAGAATCTCCAATAAAACATTCAATCATTTATTCAATTCAAAATCCAATCAAATGTGACACTATTTTGTTTAATTATCTAAATTCTGTAATCACTGTGCGAGTGTTAACTCAAGTCCACACACATCTCAGTTGTATTACAATATAAAAATAAATCTGTGGTAAAAGTACGTGGCGTTATAAACAAAAATATTGTTTTATTAAACTTAACGCTGACGTTAACGTAAGGTAATGGTGGTGTGATTTACTTCAGTTAAAACAGAATTTTTAGTGGTCCGAACTCGCAAAACGAGTCTTTAAAAACTCTAATTCATTAGACGTTTCGTAGCAATTTATATACAGGGATAAATTTATATACAGGGATATTAAACTTGCAGCACTAGACCGACTAATATCATAAAGAACAATGTTCGTTCTACGAATTTTGATTATTTTGATAAATTGTCACATAAAAATAAAGTTTAACGTTTGTATCTCTACGCCCAAATGCAACACGTTTGGTAACTTCCACGACGCGCGAAGTTAGCGTCTCCCATTTTTTTAATCAAGAAATAATATATAGCATATAAACGTTACGACAGAACAATAAAAACTTCAATAATTGTTTTTGTCAATATTGAATTATGTTAAATCGAGCATTATCATTTATGATGTTAACCATCTAATCCTTTACAGATGACCCTGTATAACGCACGATCGATATATCGATAATCCGCTCCCGGAATCTTTATTTTGAGAGATCTTAAGGAAATCGTTCGTTATATTTGGGAAGTCGTCTATTACATATACGAATTCCCAACGAATTATTCGTTCAGGTGATTTTAAAGCGGACAGTCGAAAAGAGGTGAATCTCGCAATATAAGTCATCGAACATAAAAAATGGAAGTCTGGAAGGTTTTCAAAGAGGAGTTCGAAGGAAAAGTCACCAGAGGACGAAGGGACGAAGACTAGACGTTTCACGGACGAAGCGGTCCCCGAATTCCAGGGAACCACCTCCGCAAATAAAATAAAAGGAACCGAGGGACCCGGCGACAGGGCGGGGTCGACGAAACGAAAGATTTCCGTCGAGCGGTCGATCACATTGAAATTTGAAGAATCATCGAAGCGGACCGAACCACCACCACCACCACCACCGCGGCGACGTCGGAACTTAAAAAGGCTCGTGCACCTTGCGAAATACCGATAGCACTCTTCATTTCTTCGCCTTGACGGTCACGTAGGTGGGCTCCTCGGGCCGGCGCGGCGGCGCGTGCGGCGGCGGGGGCGGCGCGGGGGCGGGGGCGGGCGCGGGGGCGGGGGCGGGGGCGGGCTGCAGCAGCAGCGGCAGCGGGCGGCGCTCCTTGACTACGGACGCGTATATCGGCGGCGGCGGCGGCAGGGCCGCGTCTCATGTTTGCAGCGCGGTGTTTATCTCGCGGTGGATCGTGGTCTGCAACGAACGCATAGAGATGTAACTTTGCATATATCTGTACCCCGGGCCCGAATTCATATTTAAGATTAGGTCTGAAATAAAGTGGAGCGTGAAAACTTCCCGAAGGGATTTTAAATCACCTTTTAAAACAAAAAAAATACATGTGTAATATATAAAGTAGCTATGAAAGATTTTGAAAAGCCATTCGTAAACGAAGGAACGGTTTGTTCCTCTCCTAAAATGGGCGATAAATGCACTGACCAGCTCCTGCAGCTGCCGCGCGAGCTGGTCGCTGAGCGCCTGCAGCACCTGGCGCTGCCCGTCCTGCGCCGCCAGCGCCAGCTCCAGCTGACTCTGCGCCAACTTCGCCTCCGCGTCCTGACAAAGTATAAGTGTTCAAACTTCACTGGCTTAACTCGACGACATACCTGCCCTGGATTAATAGAATCACCACCATGTGAATGTACTCGAAGAAATTGTTTATTACGTACGAGAGATATCACTGATAGTTTTATACGCCAGATAAATAAATGAGAATCGATCTTCTGGACTCCGATTAGAGACTAAAAAACTAACTCATCCCCAGGTTGACGAACCACAGCATTATTATTATTTCCTAGAAGCTTTTGTAAAGTTTACTAGAATACTGACCGGTAACTGTTCTATAACGTAAAAAAAAATGATTATGACGAAAAATATATTCAAATTTTAACCACTAAATAAATATAAAAATGTTCCTCGAGGTTCAATTCTTAGACTTATACTATATTAATGATATAAAATGAAAAAGCATACCTGTTCACTTTTCTTGGACTTGGTAATCTGAGCTAATTCTTCATTCTTTTGGGCCAATTCTGCTTCCAGCTGGGCGACACGCTGCCTCAATTGTTCCACCTCATTAGCTTCAGCTCCTAAATAAGATTTTTTTTTACATCGTTACTTATAAAATTTTCCAAAATGATTATACTAGAATACATCCGAAGATGTCAGGTTATACAAATATGGCAAATTTCTTCACTCGATTTTAAACCTGAATGTATAAATGGTAAGATTTGCGGTTAACTTTTTGCAAAAAAAACCCTAAGGACAAAATAAACCTTGGACGCATACCAATAAAGATAACTTGAAAGATGCATTGACTTTATAAATTATAGAATTATGTGTATGTTAGGAAATTAAAATAAAATCAAGTACAAAAAACTACAGGTAAAATAGATACACTGTATGGAGAATAGAAAGTAAAAGTAAAGAGAGTGAATGATGAAATCACTGACTGAGAAAAGAATACATATTTATTGGGGCCAGGAGGATGATGATGTCGTTAGTACCTTTCCCCGCGTAGTGGCGGGCGCGCGCCACCTCCTCCCTGTACTGGTGCAGCTGCCGCTTCCACTCGTCCACGTTGGCGGTGCTCTCCTGCAGCGCGGCCGTCAGCCGGAGGTTGTTACTCTTCAGCGTCGCCAACTCCACCTCCCACTTCTTGGCGTTCGCCGAGCTGTTCAGGACCACCGAACAATTAGGTACAGTACAACCGAGATGTCAAAACACCCCCAGATTTGACATTAGTGATAACCAGAGGTCAGAATTAGATAAGAAAGAAGAAAGAAAGAAAGAAAATATATTTATTGACCACATAGGTACATAACAATGGTTTAACTTATTACAAAGGTGGTAGTCAATCAGGACTCTGCCTCAGCATAAGCCATATCAGAGTAGCTTACCCTGATACGGCGCTGATTATTCTGGCAGAGCCTGTACAAAAGGTTGGCGTTATAGATATATATACATAAATTATAGGTATATACTAAATGACAATCTTTATATAAATATATATATTTACTTATACCTACTAATAAACTAAAATAAATAGTAATTACTGATGTGTAAAAGAAATTGTAATGGTGCGAACATATTTAGTTTACCTTGCATTGGCTGTATTAGCCAATTCCTGTGACAGGACATAAAAAAATTATAATAATAAAAAATATAAAAATTGACTCTCTGGTTGAATACTCTATTTGTCTATTGTGGCGTCGCTTTTGCTTGTTTTGAATTGTTTAGAAGTAAAATTTGTAAATGCGAAACATAAATTTATGCACATTACTTTACGTAACTGGATCCAAAGGAGTCGCAGAATTATGAGTTCATTGAAAATTTGACTGTGATAGCGAAAGATGCTACGAGGAACCAATCTCCAAACCACTCTAAAATGTTTATTGAAAAGCGTTGAATGTGAGTAGCTCGATTAACAAACGGAATATAATTGTCGCATTATCAAATGTTTTTTAAGATGCGTCTTAAAATTCCTTAATGTTTTTAGGTTACGTAGTGGGGGCGGGAGATCGTTCCAACATCGCGATGCTGCGAATCTAAAAGAGGTAGAGTTATTTATGTACTTGCATCGAAATGTTGATATTAATGTGGACCTTCCCATGATTTCTTTATTTCTTTCTTTCATTGATGTAAGTTTGGCAACGTCGTGCGTGCAGTAGTTTAAATTGTGTAAAAGTAAATAACTTTTTATTTAAAAATCACGGGGTTTTTTCTGCTCTTTAAAATTAATCTCGGGATTTGAGGCATATCCACTTTATTCTTTCGTTGTATGAAATCAGTGTAAGTACATGAATAACTTTACCTAATTCCGACCACTGGTGATAACATTGTAAATTTCCTGATAACATACAAGATACAGTATTCGAATGGATTTCAATACATCGTCGATACTTTTGTATTGCTTTTTTTCATTGGATACATCTAAAATATATCCGATATATTAATATTCGACATTCCATAAGTCATATGTTACATAATTGAATTCATGTTTTGAACATATTCAGCTCATAAACCATGTAATCCCTTGTATATTAATCGAAGATTTAAGTTGACACAAACACATATTTCAATAAGATTTGAGTTTAGGATTTAGTAAACACTACCAACAGAACAGTGAACTAATCATGTCACACATTATAACCAGAGTGATAAATTGCCAGTTTGTCTAGTACTATGGAAGGGCATTGGTCGATCGACAAATTTGTCCAGCTTTTCTACTTAAAAATACAACATTCTGGTGCTTTTTATCCTTTTTGACGCTGAGAAATGCTTTACGCATACCCGCTTCACCCTGCGCGGGCTCCACGGGTGATGTGGGACTCCTCCTGTGGCCCCACCCCCGAGGGGGCTAGACAAGAAACGGAAGTTTACTGGTGCTTTTTATCCTGGTTCAAAGACTAGAACAGATGTTGCAAAAAGTATTACTTTATTAAGCATCGATGACAGATTAAACATTAGTGTTATCTTAATATTACCTATATGGCATTATTTGAAAGTGTGACAGTGATCGCGTGAGATGGCGTTTTTTAACGTTGAAAAGTGGATTGCGCAATTGTTGTCATAATGACTGGACATAAATATTTATAAACCATTTTTAAGTAAAGGTATTTAACTCAAATCTGTCCGCTTTATTGGATCGGAAGTGGACTTATTGTATGGTTTCATTTTCATACAATACATAATAAATAACATATATATATAAATATAATCGAGCATAATATATGGCATTCCATAGTGACTGGTGGGACAGTGTACTCCAAAATTCCTAATGTTACTTTCTATTTTGATATTATATATTGATCAAATAGATATTTTGCAATAGATTATAAACCAACTTATAAAAGTAATACGAAAAAATATAATTAATGAACCTATTCGGTTGATATTTTAGCGGTTAAGGGAGTGTGACTGGTGGGACAGTCAGAATACTGCACTGATAATAGAGATTTTTAAATTAATCCAATAAATATAATAATGAAATTATTAAATAGACTACAACATGAACTAAAAAATTTACAAGAAAATATAGACAGTAGCGACTGTGACTGGTAGGACGAGTACAAAAATGCACTCGTTTTTGTCTTATTTAGAATTATTTATTAATTATAATAATAATATTAAAACGACTTCATTTTTTTAGCAAGTCTGGGAAAAAACAAAACAGTACTTTCTTGTATACTAAATCAAGAAAATGTCTCGATTATTTTCTTAAATTAAAATTTTTATAATTATTGGTACACATTTATGTTGTTACTCAGTTGGTTGGACTTTCAGGTAGAGATTTCTTTATTAATTTAATCGGACAACTGCTTTTTTAATATAGTATTTATGTATTGTCTTAAAGGACCCCAACGGTCTATTGTTTTCGTTTAGGCAGCCTCTTTTCTCTCCATTGAATTCTAACAGTTTCATTACTTTCACGTAGAGATTTGCCATTTTTCTCTGTTTTTTATCATATTGCTTTTAGTTTTCTTTAGCGATCTTCCACTTTTTTCATCACTCTTCAACTTTTCCCTAGATTTCCTTTTTCGTTTAGTAGTATCAATCTATCAGTTTATAATACAGTAAATCAATCTAAAAGCAATCCAACTTACAAAAACAAGCACAGTAACGGATTATAAACAGTTTAAATATTTTAACAGTCCGTGAAAAGTTTAAAAGACGTTTTTATAAATGACCCACCAGTCGCAGTGACCGAAGTTTTTGACCGAGAATTTCGAAGTTAGAATAAAATACTGGTGAGACATGCTACACGCTCATTGTATTTTTGAGTTTTAGAGTAAAATTAATTAGCATTTCCATTGTATTTTTTGTCCAATTAATATTTGAAAAATTCTCGTCACCCTCCAATGCTGTTTGCCTGAAAATTGTTATGATATTTTTTTTGTTTTTGTCATTTAGAAACATGCTTGATGATTTTATTTTATAATATTGAAATATAATGTCAAATTAAAACAAATTTGATTAGAAAACAAAGTAAAATTAAATCTCTGCTTATAAATTGGTATGTATAAATGGCGCATCAAATGGGTATCGATGTTAACAACGTTACAAAATATCGCAAGTGCCTGTCTAAGTGCAATTTAAATCAATCCTCCAGTTACGCAACCCAGACGCGAGTGGTGCCGCTACGTGCGCGGCTCTACGAAATCTACGAGATCTTTACGGTCATTACGAAGAAGGCAGGAAAACGTGCCGCGATCAATCACGGCTCATTACTGCGCTCAACATGCACCGCTCCGATTATCCGGACGTAACACTGCATATGGGCACTTACTGTGAACAGAGAAAAAATTTTGCCCACAACATTGTCTGCGAGAATGGGTATTTCCAGTTGCCTGATTTTCTCCTCGAGCTTTCATACATCTCCATATTTTTCATTATAAGTACTTAGTAGTATTTAAATGAATGAATTCCCCAGCAAACGTCTTCTCTATTTTCATTTCTTATTGAGATGATTTCTGAGATGTGTCCGGCAAAATATATCCGGCCCGTGCAGTTTTTAAGGACTGAGATGGAGCGATGTCGGGGCAGAATACAGTGACTATTCTTGGTTCGCGAGGATATTGTCTCGTGTTTTTGTTTTCTTGCATGTGCGAGATATATTTCAAATAATAAATTTAAACCGAATGTCACATCCACCTATCTATAATATAACGTAAAACCGTCTACCTAGTTCCTACTGTCAACCGACGGGCACGTCTAGACAGCAAACGTAAGGGGCACGCGTGATAAGGCTGGTTTTACAGTGACGTCTACCGTCCGCGCGTGGCAAGCGCGGCTCGCAAGCACGCGGATGACCCGCTCGAATCTATAAAACGACTTCAGTGCCACGCGGTTTGCCACCTCGTACAGTCGCAATGAAGCTTGTACTTACATACGTGTACGTGTTCGTTTGTGTGCGCGCGTCCAATCTGCGTGACTGTGTAACGCGTACTGGCAAACAATGGATCCTTGCCCGCGCGCGGTTGAAAAGCGCGGCCCAAACACCGTCCGCGCGGGCCTACCGCGCAGTTTATTTTACTATGTAACTATCTAACGGTCAGTTGCGCAATCGTTCATTAAGGTTTAATGACGCCTTTAAGCTCTAATAAATGTCAAATTTGTATGAATAATGTCACTTTAAATTAATGAAATTTTTAATGGACGTTTGTGCAACTAGCTGTTAGGTACTCAAAGCTTGTTGATCGCGACGCTTACAAACCGTGTTGACAGACGCGTCACTATAAAATTACACTAAAAGGCGTGTGACAACGCGCCGGCGCCGGTCAACACAACAATGACACATTTTATTATGCAAAATTATTTTTATACATAATATTTTATTTTTACTACAATAATTGTTAATTCATACTATATGTGCTGTGAGATATTCTTGTTAATTAAATTTCTAAAATTAGTTAAAAAATAGAGTAATCATGAAACGATAAAATTGGATTTTATACGAACCTCTACGATACTTTTCCTATTTCCAGAAGTGCCTTAATTCATGAATATTAAAACGGTTTGTTATCATCGCACACCAATATGGCTGACACGATGACGACTTGATACAATTATTAGCACCAACTAAACTATTAATTATACACGACACTGGACAACACACGCGATTCATTAACAACAATGTCGCCGCTGGTTTGCTTGCATTTTTTAATTAATTTCATATATTTTTTTAATATCATTTTCAATAAAAAAAAATTCTAACAATAATTCACATTTGCTATAGAAGTTAATTCAGATAACTCTTTTTTTAATGATAACCCTTAACTGACATCGTGGGGTAAATTATCACCCCAGTCGCATAAAAACAAGTATATTTTTTTCCCCATTGCAGGTAGATTTTTTTCCGTCTAAGTATTCTTAGTGCAGCGCATGCGCTAGAGGGTAGTAGACGCATCGCCCGTGATTAATCATCCGTTTGAGCTGTACAGACTTACAAAGTACAGAGGGGTAAGTTTACACCCCACTATGTTAGATACGTATGTTGTTTTTTTAACATAGTCAAATACTATTTTATTGTTTTTTTCGGAATAAAAGCAATATGAGTAACTTTCTTACCCACGAACAAGTTGAAAACATCCTAGAAAACGAATACCGTGATGAAGAACTGGATCTACCAGATTCCATGTCCAATTTTGAGTGATTATGAAGACGCGGCATCAGAACACAGTAATCATGAAACTGACTCTGAAATGGAGCTGGATAATGAAGATTCCCGTAATGGGAGTTCAGATGATGACTTACCACTTTCACGAATTGCATATTATACCGGAAAGAATGGGTTCAAATGGTCAAAATCTCCTCCACCTGTGTCCAGAACTCAAGCTCATAATATTATAAGTCAGCGGCCAGGAATCAAAGGACCAGCTGTTGCAAAAATTATTCTAGTATAAACCAAATCAAAGATATTTGAATAAGCGAAGCTAATTTGTTCCTACTATTAATATTAAGTATTTTGTTTAAGACTGATTCAGAAGCAAATGTGAAAAAACCAGAAATGTCATGTCTTTTCCAAATTTATAAAATAAATATATTTTCTTAAATAAATGTTGTTTTTTCTTTATTTACAGATTTGTAATATGCTGTCTTAATATATAAAATCATAATCTAAAGTTATTTCTAACAATTACATAGTTTTTCTTTAATTTTTAATTGGGGTAGAATTTTACCCCGCGATGTCAGTTAAGTAACAAAAAAGCACTATGTTAATTGGGGGTTAACCTTCAAAATGATTGCATTAATGCGACAATTTTGATGTTTGACGTTTTTTGACGTTTTCTCTACTACAATATTCAAAACTTCAAAAAAAATACCGACAAAGAATCTAATTGAAACAAATCGACCGGCATCATTACGTAAGATTCACAAAATTAATAAACCAACAGACAATCACGCTACATGTATTACTACCGTACAGAAATGAACCTGACCACCATATTTCACCTGTTCTAATTTCCTCAAACCATTTGCGAGTTCTTTTTTAAGAGCGATCAATGTCCGGTTAGCGAGTACCTACATCCTATTTCACTACGATTTACACAGCCATTGAAATCGAAGCAGCGATCATAAGCAAAATTTGCCTAAGCGCAGGCACAACATTCCACTATCCTTGCCCGGTGTATCCGTTCGCGGTTACTCGCATGCGTTACTCTACAACGTGGAATTAGATTACCTTAAAAAAAATAACTATCATTTGCAAAATGTCTTTAGGGTTCATAAAATGATCACCTTTAAGGATTCTTTGAAATATTCTTCGTGACTGCTGGATCAGTTCAAATTTGGTAACACCTTAATGCGTTTCGGTAACTAAAGTATATCGTGCAACGTCAATTAATGATTTTTTTTACATTGGATACCTATTTTGGGTGGTAATAGGAAAGGAATTTTCACATTATTTTATTTAAATCAATTATTGTGTCAATACACGTAACAGAAAAAACTATTTATTAAAAATTTAATACATTAATTATTAGTTTTTTTTTTAATATCCCAATCACACTAACAACAGTTCTAATGAAGTAAATAACATTTTTGCAAATAACGTATGACCACGTATAATCTCCTGTAATATATCGTAATCATTGCCAATAACACAAATAAGCTGGGTCGGTTTAAACTTTTATTACATAAGGCATAGTCCACACTTCCCCCACTGGGCCGCGGGGTGGGCTAGTGGGGCCGAGAATTAACTATTTCTTGGGTATAAGTTGGATGGCTACGTTCCAAACGTTTACATTCGTGTGTGAAACAGTGTTGTGTGAAGTTTTAGAAAATATAAAATGGCTTTATTACATGTGAGTACAAATTTTAGGTTACACTGTAAGAAATGGTAACTAGAGAAGGGAGAAAATATGTGAATTTTACCTTATTACCCATACATAAAAATATTTTAAGTTTTACCCGACATGTAAATTTTATATGTGTAATGTTACAGCAGGGGCTCGTAATATACATTAACGTTTAGTATATATTTACTACTTTTAAAATTCGATCCCCAGTAGAGTCCAATTGCATATTAATATGGATATGCCTCCATTTTATCGTTTTATATTTCTGTAATAATAATAGTCAACATCATAGTAACATTACAACTAAATTAATCTCATGACAATTACAACCTTTGAAACAGCATAGAGTACTTCCGTGTAAATGTTTTACTTATTATGAAAATAAACAAAGGCATCCACTAAATATTATGAATCTTAATGTGACATTTTCATTAATACAAAGATGCACAAACAAAAGTGTAATTAGACAAAAACAGTGGCGCACAGACACCGCCGACGGTCATATATACTTTTTAGACAATAATCGCTGGCAACTGCACAGCAAAATATTTCTTCCTTATTGCCATCACAGTCACAAGTGAAAGATAAAGTGATATCCATATTTTACACGACACTGGCATCTCTACAGGATTATACACACCTCTACAAAAGCTATTACATATTCAATTTATACGTTAATAAAACCAAATTTAAATATTTTTTTTTGCGTTACTTAAATCAACATAAATCAATTTATTTCCTAACAAAAAAGGTAACATTCTATTATAATATACCTAATAATTCTTTATTTTCACCAAAACTTCTGTTTTAAAACGTCAGTGAAAAAACGGCCGCGCAAGAAACGCCAACACTCCTTCCCCATACATAAACCTATACTAATATAATCAAATTAAGAGTTTGATTTGTTTATGAAAGCTCTTTGGTCAATTTTGAAAATGATTTTACATTTGACCACCCTGTAAATCAGGTAGGTATCATTATATCATATAATATGGCTGAACCGAAAAGAAATTTTCCCTGAAAGAAGATTTAAAAGTTGTCGCAAAGCGACTAGTGAATAAGTAATTCCGAAATACAACGCGGCAACAAAGTCGATTGCAAATGAAGTAAGTAGCTGAACGAAAAAAAAACGTAATAATACTTAATTGCTTTACCGGTAAGGAAAACACCGGCACGCACTCCTCGCAGGGAAGGTGACACTTCCTGCCTCCTGTCACACACATACACGTGATGATAATAAATTCAAGTCCCGCCCGTAAATGTCACGCGCTAGTTGAAAAATGGCAGAGAAATCACACGGACGGATGTACGACAAATTGTAGGGTTATAAATCTCTTACATATATAATAAGTAATGAGCTTTTCTCTCTTTGTGTTGTAAAATTCTAACATTTAATTAAGCGAAGACTTTAAACCTATTTACGTCAAAGTAAATTTTTATTAACGCACACAAGGCGAAAAGTGGAGTTTCAACTGTATTTTTTATTGTCATATAAATATACTGAATTTGTAATTATGCCATAAATTTAAAAGCAAACAGTTGTATATAGAAATTATTACAATTTAAGCAATGTTGAATTATTACGTTCTAGTGCCCTTAACTCGTGTAATAGCATTAGCAGAGGCTTAGTTAAGGGTACAAATTGAGACCAATAAAATAGAGTAAACCACCGTTTATGTAATGAAGAACTATATCAATTACACAACGAAAGTGACATTTACGAAAGTGACATGACATGTGAATAAACCAATATTAATTATCGGTAATGACTTGCGAGGAGCGTCGCCTTCACACGATATCGCGAAACGGTAACCGCCGGTGACATAATGTTCAAATATAATCAATGTGGTGTCGCACCGCGGCCTGACAAAGTTCTTTACTCGAATACTTCTCGGCGAACTTACAAACAATATTGATGATGACACAATATCTGAACAAGAATAGTTTACAATATCAACAAAAAATATTAATATAAATCAAAGAAAATCATGTTACATTTACGAAAACTAATCTAATTTTAATACAACCCCTTATTGTTATCACATTTTCCATTATTAGACCGCATTACAAAATAAAATATTAACTTATCTGCGTATCAAATGCATTTTACATAAGAGTGCGGATCGAATCTAAATCGCACTGCACGTCGCGTGACTGCGCCGACACCAATTATATCAAATTAATCTATAAAAATGTTATGAACACATCATATAACAGTTGCTTTTCGATCAAAACTAAACCATGTCAAACTGATCCTATGGCATTGTCTAAGAAAAGTTTCAATAATTTTAGTCAGTTAAATGAATCGGTAACGTAGGTCGGTTAAATGAATGCTCGAGTGGCTCGGTGACGTAGTGGATAAGCGCCGCGGCCCGCGATCGTTGTTGTTAAGTGACTTTCGAAACGGTCCGTCAAGAGATGGGTGACCGAACAATTATTATCTCGAGCTAATCCGTGCTTAGTTACGTTAATTTCACATAAAAATAAATTGGAAGCACACCCATCACGATAAACAAATCCTCAGCGGAATCTACATCGGGAGTGGCATAACAAAAATAATTGCGTAGGTATTACCAATCCGTACCGACCGCACAAAGATATGGGCTATAACGCGACGTGACGTCATCAGCATACCACTAGCGAGATTCTTCCGCGAGCGCGCCAAACGTGTGTGTTAACTTCACCAATGAAAACCACAAGTTTCGAGATTTAATCATCATTATTCTGTTGTAGATGAAATAATAAAATCTTAAATACAATTTTAAGTCTTCTTTTGGGGGTGAATTATAAGATTAAAAAATGTTTTGCCAACCACATTGTGTTACATGTCTCCCATAAAATAATAGGGAATAAGTAATACCAACCTAGGGGAATCTGATCGGGTTCTTTCTGATCTACAAAACGGAACTCGTGAAAAACATATATAAAAATTATTTCTTTATTACATATGAAATTAAATTCTGCGGTTTTTTTAAAATTTGATATTTAAACAGAAACTTCGGTGCGTGAGTCTGACTCGTTTTTGGCAGAAGCTTTATAACATAAAGATATATTGAACACACGAATGTAATTTAATTAAAAAATCATAATAATCATCTCAAAATTGCTGCCAACCGACCGTCCAGTAGAACTGTTAGATTACATCATAAAACTATAATCCTACCGAGATAGGGCCAACATTTCCGCTTCCGGTAACGAGCTGAAATTAACCAATTAGGTAAATTCAATCCAACCACACGTTACGAAGTACACGAACCGACAGTAATCTGTTATAAATATAGAGAATAAAAAACTTTTTAATGATTTAATTAAATCTTGACAATGTGATGTGACGATCATATCTATCATCATTCATTACCATAACTTTTTTCTTCATTGTTTACATTTGGTCACGAATAAGATACGAGATGTTACATGAAGATATTAAAATTATGCAAACTTGGGACACCATAATACATAAACAACATAAATATTAATATATTATTTTAAAAGAAACAGCCACAGTTTAGTTTTGTTCGGTTGGCGTTGACTATTACGTTTTCTTTTACAGAGTATCTTTACGCTGAGCCTTCTGGCGTCTGTAATGGCTCAGTTCGAGGAGTACGGGTACGAAGGTCACGGCTTGGAGGGATACTACAAGAAACCAATCGTCCACCACGCGAGCCAGAGCCTGGATCACCACGACGAATATGAGCTGGACTACCATGTCAGTATCGACAACTTATACATTGTTATATAACAGGCACATGGGGGAAAACATGTCATGCGGGTTCAATGAGAGGGATGACCAAAAATTTAGCTCATCAGTGCTTCAGGAAGCCGTCGGTCTAGCTAGGTTACATCTCTAGTCGTTGGCACTCACTTGAACTATCTTTACAATCATAGCTTTCAAGTATTTTTCAATGTGACGCGTCTGTATGAAACAATAAAGGTTGTCTATACAGACCTATCCTAATATAGAATCACAATCGGGAAAAATGGGGCCACCAGCAGGACAACGCGGATAACTGGGTGTTAGACTACAAATGTTGCCCGACTATTGCATGTATTATTTGAACACTAACAGTGTTATTATATATAATAAATAAGGTTTAGTGTCAGAGTAAATTAAGACTAAAATTGCATTAGTGCTTAGTATTAGTCCAAATTCATATTATACAAAGAATAAGCAAACTTTTAGGAGTAAATATTAGTCCCATAGAACCTCGTACTAGGTTAACCTTGGCTAAATATCTGTTTAATAATATGAATTTGGATTAATACCAAGTGCAGTCTCAGCGTAAATTTACTCTAACGCTAAACCTTGTTTATTAATATAATAACACTATATGGAACTCGAGTTAATACTTTTTCAGCCACCCATTCGACGAACGCTATTGCGATATATTCTAAACTTTCGAAACCGAACATTGACGCATCAGGTAATATTGTTATTTTTTTGATAAGCTACGGTTCAAGAACCACAACTTACATTCACTTTGACATTTATGCAATGAAAAGCAATAAAATATAATTCATTACGCACTCAAAAACTACTAATTGACGCATTCGTGGGTGATTTCCAGCTTGTGCAACGTTTTTATAATAAATCTAAATATATATAACTCAAAGATGACTGACTGACATAGTGATCTATCAACGCACAGCCCAAACCACTGGACGGATCGGGCTGAAATTTGGCATGCAGGTAGATAGTATGACATAAACATCCGTTAAGAAAGGATTTTGATCAATTCTACCCTCAAGGGGATAAAATAGGGGATGAACATTTGTATGACACTTTGGCAATTTTAAACCGATCGGGCCGAGAATTTGCATGCATAAAACCACTATGACGTAGGCATCCCCTAAGAAAGGATTTTGATTATTCCACCCCTAAGGGGATAAAATAGGGGATGTAACTTTATTTCCGGTATTTAACACGATATAATGAATACATATTCGGTAAAGTAACTTAACCACGCGGACGAAGTCGCGAGCAAAAGCTAGTAATAATATAAACTCAATTCTAGAAATATGTAAAATAAAAACGTAGTGATCGAATATTTATCCACATATGTAGTAATGCCAGGACAATAAATTAACCGTCTCGCTTTTAACTCCACAAAAGAAAAGACAAAGGCAATGATCCTATCAATCCTTTGATAATGTCTTATTGCTATATTTAAGTAAGACTACTAAGCTTTGTCCTACTGTTAAGGTCAAAGATATATATATCGAAGCCAATTGGTTAAAACAGCTGTACAATTGGGCGGCTAGCCATTTAACTGGATAGCGCCATTCAATTGCACGCCTTGTTTTCTAGTTGAATCATTATGACATTTGAACATTTGAAAAAATAACCTTGACCAAACAGGACCATAATAAATTCATTGTTTATCATTTTATGTTGTTAATAAAACTACAAAGATAAGTACATATACAGTAATTTGACCAAAACTCGGTAAACGGACAAAGTGCAATAATATGTATCCACAGATACCTCGTTAACTTGGGACAACCACATAATCATAAATATTTACCCACGTAATAACCAAAGGGATAAACTGATCATCAAGATTTATAATGTTACCGGTTAGCGTGTTTGATCTGTGATTGCGGAGGTGAAGTGACGAGGCCCGTAATCGGATGGGTGGCCAAATTATTTTTAGCGGAGTAACTTGGACGATCACGCGGGTCACAATCAGTAGTAAACCGGCCACCGAGCCGGCGGATTACGGCGGATTTTGTTTTCAACAATTAAGAATACCTGTGATTTAGTACCACCAATCCACATTGAGACATACACGTGGGCCCAGTACGGAATGCTTGGTGCCACCACCATATGAACGGGACATGCACGCAATACCGCGAACACATAGACAATTTACTTAATACTAAATAAATAGGGAAGTACCTATGTAATTTGTATACAAATTAATATACCCTAAAGCGAACACAGAAATTTATGTTTTCTAATGTTCACATATTAATGCCCATGGACTACATATTCACGTTTCCAACATTGTGTACATATTTATTTCCATTTGTAAGAATACAATTTTATGGGCCTTTATATGAGCACATATATAAATTTTGATCTTGACTGTACGAGACACTTAAATCAAAAACTTGTTCACAGGCTCACCCCAAATACACATTCGACTACTCTGTGAAAGATCCCCACACTGGTGATGATAAAGAACACTGGGAGACCAGGGACGGGGACAAAGTCAAAGGTATGAATCAAGGAGCAGCTTCGCTTCTTTATAGTTGTTATTAAAAACTATTTCTACACCAGTTCGCTTTAGATTGCATCATGCAAATTCTACTTCATCGTCAAGCGCCGAGCTATAAAGCGCATGTAATTTAGTTTCTGCGCGTATGCGTTTGTCCTGCAACTCGTCACCGCCGACGACGCTTAGACAAGTTGTCAAGATGGATAGAGAATTTGAAACTAGTGTCAGTTTATACTAAAACGCATACAATGTCAGACGCGAACACTAGTGATGGATCCAATTGCGTTTGCGGCATGCGCTGTGGTGGAAGTTTTAGCGAATGCATCTTTGCTATTGCTATACTTGCTAGGCGCTTAGAGAAAAATGCCTGATGAATGGGAAGATGTACGGGAGGGATAAGGACAGAAAAACCGTTCCTCCAAACTCACCATATAAATTGTAAAAACTAATACGAATAAAATAACATTATTTATATTAAAAAAATCTTCAGAGATTTTAATCACAGTCGATTTTATCCTTCCAACAGTAGGCGATCAAATCAGTCATGAGAGGTCTCTCGATTGTTAATTGTTGAATTTTCAAAGAGCTGCCAGATCCACAGACTTTAAATTTCTTATGAACGGTAACTGTTTCCAGGCACCTACACGCTTCTAGAGACAGATGGCACAAAACGAGTGGTGGAATACGAGGCCGACGACAAGAACGGATTCAACGCGGTCGTGCACAAGATCGGCGCGCCCAAAGACCACCACGAGTACAAACCGCAACCGCAGAAGTATACGCGCATCGAGCCGCCCTACCAACGCGACAACGGACACTTCGACGACGGCTTCGTGCCCATCGTGGGCGGATACCGCCGTTGATGGTTTAGCGATAATATAGCGATTCATTTTAGGGACCAGAGTTTTAGACTGTTAGGAACGTGCTTTTTTAGAATAGCTATTTTCAAATGACACAAAAGGTATAATACTACACAGTTGAAAATAAGCAAGTATTCATTTGATTCCTTTGTACGATATAGAAACAACAGTGAATACTTGTGCTGTGACATTTCATATTTTTCAGCGATCATATTCGCTACAAAAGCGTACTTCCATGCTATCCAGTGTTCCTAGATCAATACCCAATTATAATCAAAGAGCAATGTTTATCGTAGGTGATTGTTTTAGTTACAAAGACTGTGCTGTTACTCGTTTCTTATTGCGTAGTTTTAAGTGTTGTACAAAAATCTTACGTTTTTTTGATAAATAAATCTTTAAATGAACCAACGATAATTTTTATTTCATGCCATGTGGAATTCGGAATCGATAAATACGATCTGCAGAAATGAAATTCATCGTACGCTATATCATGTGGAGCTTACTATTCTATGAAAGACTTATCTATCGGGTGAGTGTTCTAATTAATATCTTTAATTTGTGCTGCTTATTTACAAGTTACTCCTACCCTGAAGTACGTCGACGTATCTGAAGTAAGTTTTGAAATCACAATTTCAATTAATAACTTTGAATCTTAAACTATTCGGTTATTTTATAATATTTAACGGTTTCTCATTAGTGTCCGACCGAAGCTTCGGCTTCGGCTTCGGCATCTGGCACTTTCGGCCAAAAAAAACATCTTCGGCAAAACCTTCGGCTTCGACCCAAAACTAGGCCGAAGCCGAAGGTTTCGCCGAAGGTCCGAGCCACCGTCGAGATTGAACGAACTGTTTCGAAAGACTGAGTGAGAGAGCGATGGACCGGTCGTGTTGGCAGAGGCCGCGGGGAGTCAGGGCGCTTGTGCACTACAATGAATTTTCAGGTCCGGCGGGCCGACTTTTTCCGGTCCCGAATGACATGAAAAACTCGGATGAGTAGCTTGTGCACTAGTCCGTTTTTTTTCGGATCGGAACGGCACATTTTAGGGTAGCTCTCTGTGAAGCTACACGTCACTTACAATAGGCACGATGAGATTTTTGAAACGTTGGTAATTGCTTGCTCTATTACTGTACGTGCGAAGACGTAGAAGACAGGAAAAATATTCCTGGCACAGGCTAGCATTACCTACATATGGCCTGACATATCAGGCCGGAAAAAATCGGACCGCCGGACATGAAAATTCAGTGTAGTGCACAAGCGCCTTCACTGTCAATCTGTATTTCTAAATCAACTTCTATATGAGACAGTCAATATAACCTTCAATATTGAAATTTTGAAATAATTTTAATATTAATTGTAGCTTGTAGACAATATTGAACAAAATTAATTACTGAGAAATTATAAACCACCGGCTTCGGCTTCGGCTTTTGCCGAAGGTCGTGGCGATTGCCGATTAATCGGCTTCGGCTTCGGCTTCGGCTTCGGTCAAAAATAGACCTTCGGTCGGACACTATTTCTCATAGAACATTATTTCTGAAGTAAAAATCTGATTGTTAACTTAATGTGCGAAAATATACGCTCACCTCTGCGCGAGGGCCAGCTTGAGGCGGTCGTTCTCGTAGCGCAGCTGCTGGTCGGGGTCGGCGGGCGCGTCCGCCCCCGCGCCGCCCCCGCCCCCGCCCCCCATGCCGCCCCCCACGTTGCCCCCCGCGCCGCCCCCGCCCCCGCCCCCCACGCCGCCCCCCGCGCGGGGCGCACGCCCCACCGTGGCGTACCCGCCCTGCACATTACACTACTACACCCTGAAGTCTTGCTCTGTGCGCAAAACTTCTATTTTGCATTCACAATGGTACACTGAAAAATATTCTTAATGAGAAATGCTTGAAAACTTTGTCCCTGGACAAAGTGTAGCATTGTGAATGCAAAATTCATCAAATATAATAATAAAAACGAATTTTCATCTTTGTCGAAAGTTTACAATTTGTAAAAATATTTCTTTCAGCTGTTCGGTTGGATCGTCTGAACATTGATGAAAATACGCTCTGTAGTAGCGAAATAGTAACGAGCGCTTGAAAGATTCGTCAGTCCTGTTAGGTCCTGGGTAGCTCAGTGGTCAGAGCGGTCGCCCGGATTGCGAAAGATCATGGGTCGAGTCCCATCTCAGGGTGCCCGAGACGAAGTGGATTTTTAACCTTTTTCATTAAATTTTAATTTTAATTTAGACCGTCCTCGGGGCCCCAAATGATACTTTAATAATACAGATTATTACGATATTCAAATACGTGTGAATTTTTAAGCATTTATTATTTGTCAACGGTAGACGAAACATTATTTGAACATTAAAAATTAAACCTAAAGTAACAGGCATGTAGTTTAAGAAAACGGAAAAGAAAATAATTTACCTGCAGCGTCGATGACACCGAATGAGCTCTCTGGTGAACCGCTAACTCGTCGTTTTCCGGTTTCGCCTGTAACAATATAGATCGACTGACCTAAGAATACAGGCACACACAGAGTGTATCTATCCGCGTAGCTGCTGTGCGGGGAGTCAGTACCTGTGCGGGGGAGACGCAGGCGGGCTCGTCGGGCTGCGTGCGCGCGGCCAGCAGCGGGCTGGCGGTGGCGCTGGCCACGGGCGTGGCGGCGCCGCTGTTGCCGTTGGTCACGCTCTTGGCGCCGCCCGAACATTGCTGGGCTTGTATCGCTTCCTTCACCTCTTGGAACTTCTCTATAAACTGTAACGATATTTTGTAAGATAAAAACGGTTTAAAAGTGACACGCGTCGACCGACCCGAAGAGACCTCACCGACCTTGCCCAACTCTGCTTCCGAAGCGAAACCCAGGCCGTATACGGTGTTCGCCCTGACGTCACTCCACTGGCCGAACTTCTGAGAAGTCTTCGTGAAGGTCATGTTCGCCGTTATGGTGCTGTTGATCACAGCCTGCGAAATAAAATTATTTTACCTTTAATTAAAAAATGCCCTAAAAATGCTCGTAAAATCTTGACGGGAAGATTTGATTTGCAACGAACGAATCTAAGTGTCTAGCTAGATATGCTTTTACTGAATAGGTACGCATAGATCGGTGCTATACCTTGGTGCCTTCGACACTGATGATACGATATAAATTCCTCGAGGAATCATAGAAGAAGGAGACTGACACTGCGGCGGAGCTAGCCGACATCCACGATCGCTTGGTCTTCGGGTCTATGTGGAACACGTGCGCCTTGCACGTGAAGATTGGCTGCTCACTGTTGAATACGACGTTATATCACTGACTAGGTACCTACTACCAAAAATTGAATTGCTGTTTATATCTAGAAACCGGATTATATGCATTTTTCAATATCTATCATCACCATCACCAACTGCCGTACTACTCCAGTGCTGAGCACAGGCCTCTTCCATAATTTCCAAAGCGCACTGTGGAATATCGTAAAACAAAGGCATATCAACAATTATTTTACCACTCACCAAAATAGGGTTCTTTTTTGTATTCAAAATTTGTTTTCATTTGAATGATGAAAAATAGTATTGCTCAATTTCGTCGATGTAATTAAATAGGTAATGTATTTATTTAAATTTTACAAAAAAGACAGCTACGGTATTTTGCGTTTTACAAAGATACAAGTCTGAGAACGGGTATCTCTATCAATTACAGTTTCATAATTGACTCCTATCATTGTGGTATGGTTAATCAATTTATTTATAAATACACATAAATAAAAAAATTGATATCTGAAATAATTCACAAGACACATATTCTGAAAGTGAAAAAGAGTATGTAAAAAATTGTTATCCATTATTAATTTAGTAATAGTTTCATAGAAGACGGCTTCTTACTGTTTAAAATGTCTACTTTTTATTGTACTAAATGTGAGTTAATAGTGTCTTATATATAGAATGCGGAAAAAAGACTGCGGCTTAATCAAGAAATTTGGAGGAAAAACAAGTTTCTGAAGACATATGTATTATTATTGGTAATATTCAGAGAAATATCATCCCTTGGTTCAATTAATGCTGGAATGAAGCAAGTCGCAATAAGGAATATTTTTTAAGAAATAACACCGACTGTTTGGTTTCGGAATATTCCGTGATTATACCAGCATCCGAAAACGTGTCAACTTACTCCACACCATCTACTTCTTATAGTTAACGAGGAGGACGCCTCAGAATAAAGTATAAAGAGAAAAAAATACTATTTTGCTTAATAAATATGGTATGGACCATATTCGTAACGCTTATCTTCAGGGATTACGTTCTATGGGCGAAGATACTGAAGCAAAAATTTGAAAAATGAAATGGAAGGTTTTCGTCATGAATCAGTTTCAAAATGCAAAATTAATTAAAAAACTTATAGATCAAGAAGCTTTAAGTGTTTTAATCGACTTGGAACTAACAAAATATTGATGTATCTCAGAAACATTACAGATGAAAATGACTGTCCTATAATATTTCCACTGTGCCATAACATATAAAAAATTTAACTTGAGATGCTATCCACCATCTTCAACAATTGAAATCACTAATACATATGCAAAAATGTTGAGAGTTTAAGATCTATTAGTACACACTGCAGCTATAATTTTATCTATAGATGTAGTTTACATGAATGAATATATCGCAATACATCTGATCATTATATAACGAGCACCAGAAAACCATATATGAAAAATGAAAAAGAGCTAGATGAATTTTGGATTTGTGTAAGCATTGATCGGAGCGTAGATTTCGTCAATCGAGATCTTTCAAGTTTGAGGTTAATAATTCAGTGAGCCTCGTTCTAGTTGGTGATTGCTTTCCGTTTTTTGAGGCGTTGATCACTGAGACATCGTTGAATATACCCTTTTTTGATAACACAGGGAAAATGCACCTCAAGCCAACCAGGGTTCCCGAACCACCCTGTCCTGGAAAACAGCTACGTTTCACATCATATAATTTGATGAATCTGGTATCCTGCAAGAAGGGCCCGTTTACAACAATACCCAAACCCAAGAAAATGTAGAATAGGTAATTTTCTACATTGACAGACTGCAATCAAGCTATAGATGGATGGTATAGGATTTGTGTCCGACAAGTGAAAATACAGGTGTTTGTTTTATCTTCGATAAATATTAACCATTTTAACTTATAAATGTTTAACTAAACAAATTTAAAGTCACTGATTTGGAAAATATTAAGCTTTGAAAACTTGAAAAAAGTAGAAAAAATCTACTACAAAAATTTGCTAAAATACATAAGGCATTAAATTAGATATAAAAAAATGTTACAACTTTCATTATAACAACTATAAACATAAACGCACAAATAACAAAGATATTACAAAAATTATCCAGAGGCCCATACATTTTTCGCTACTGTAGCACCATGTCATATCACTGAGTGGGTTTTTTTTTTTATCAAATAAAAACTTTGTAAGCTCATTAATTAGTTATGTTGATAAACAGGGCCTTGGAGATGGAGACATCTTAAAAATGGAGTGAATTGAAACAGTCATATCTTAACAAATAATCTGTTAGTGTTCTTTGCTCTGGTCAAAGAAGTACTGAATTCATTCTAATGAACAAAAATCCAGAAGATTCTATATGCATAGTATTCAATTAATTACAAATACTTTAATTCTCATAGCATACATGTAATTTTTTGTATTTACAAAAATAATAGACTAATATTAGTACAACAAAACTATTATTTATTGTTGTAAAGCATAATTATATAGACTCACAAAAGGTAATCTTCATTGTATGACATTTGGAACACTTTTTAACGTAGTTGATCAAATAACCTGACCTGATTTTAAACTGAAGCTATACTTTATCACAAAAATGTCTAGCTCACTCTTTGACAGATTGCATATGTTGATAAACATTTTTATCATGACAGCTGTCAATAGCTGTTATGATAAGATACTGCAGCACATTTATTCTGAAGTGTTCCGCATGACTGCGATTAGAATAGTATAATAAATAATGAATAACATCTGAACATCTATTGGCATAAATTGCAGCTTCTATATGAGAAAATTAATATCAGTTAATTATAAAACTAATCATAAATACTTTGGTTCCAAAGTATATCCTTTATTGATAAATTAGATTATCTTTCTTAGTAAAATTAATAACTGAGTCAGTTTAAAAGCCTTATAAAAGGTATTGAGTATTAATCTAATCTGGAAGATTGAAAACAACATCAAATAATATTAAGGGATTCATTGAAAACTTGGTGTATTTCTGTACACTAAAGCATGTGTAACACATCATCTGTTTACTTCATAAATATTCATGTTCAGTTAAAATATGTTTATTAAGTGTGTACTAACCTAATGAGCGAAATTCCAATGTAAATAGATCACGCGATGTTCTGAATTATACCAATTTACGCCTACTAGTGTACACGGCGAATAAACATCTTTAGCTCAATGAACCATACCAGTTCTGATATTATTTATAGCGGCCTCCGACCCGACGACCTTAACGTCGAGGTAAAAGCACTCAATCGTATGCAATCGATGTGCAAATACCCGATTGGGCGCAGATGCACAAATAATAGAGAGACAGTTACGAATAAAAAGGAAATTGCCAATTAACGATTCAAATAAATTTATGTTTGCTCCAATTTTATCCTTTAATCATCCCGAGATAGAATTATCTATTGGGAACCAGAAATATCCCTTTGCATTGGTAAAATGCATCCCCTCCCTAAAAATAACAAGGCGACTGTGAAACGTGACTTTTTCTTCCCTAGCGTATAGTTGGTAATATAAAAAGTAATGGAACAGATAAATAAAATTTCTAATATAGAACTCACCCCATGTTTTCTTTTCCTGCTGTCATTTAAACACGATAAATATAAATTATTTTACTTCATAATTCTAAAATTTTTCACTCGCGAACTGTCACTTGCGGCGGGTGTGTCATAAGCTATAGAGCTCTTTGCAATATGTTGCCATGTACAATATTAAAATTAGTGTATCTTTTATTGTCTATGAAACTTTAATTTAAAAATGTCTTTTTCGCATTAATTATATCATCCCTGTTACCCGTTTTCACTAACCTAAAACAATGCATAGCTTAACTAGAAATCATATAATATTAAAAGTAGCTTAAACGGATTTTTCGTTTCACCAAACATGTAACGTTAGGTAATTATGCCTTCCTAAGCATGCATTCAGCATTCAGTTCGTCTCCTTTTTTTTTAATGTATTACCTATTTACGTTTTAGCAATTTGGCCAATATCATGTTAGTCGCCTTTACGCGCAAAGAGACAAAAACAACATATTTTGTGGTAAAAAACCAAAAAATAATAATACGTGGTCTTTTATCTACACAAGCAACCAAGTCGTCAATTTCCATATGTAAAAAGTCTAAAAATTCAAACAATTTCATTGGTTATACCTAAATTCTAATATTTGAACTCCTTGATTCCACCATAATTAATTCATTTTATTGACACTTCCATTATGACAAAAGAATAAATGTTTATGTCACATTACGCAAATGCCCAGCACTAGGCGCCGAACAATGCATGTCCTAACGTAAGCGTTGCCCAAAGTCGTTAGATGGCTCCTTGTTATTGGTGAAATGAATTTTCACCTTAGATTATACCCAAATATTTGGGCAATACAGTGAAAAACCATTAAAAAAAGATTGGTAATGTCATCTACCGCAATGTTTGGAATTAAATTTTGTTGTAGATAAAGGTAGGTAAAGGTTTTGCTACTCGGCACTAGGTAGCGCTAGCAATATGAACATGGGGTAGACGACGTTTTAAGTTTATTTATGGGTAGACATCAATGATATAGACATGACGGAATCTTGATGGAAGTCACAGTTTCATTCATTTTAATTAATTAGAGATGGCTCTAATTTTTAGTATGGATTGGACAAATTGGACAAAAATATCATGGCTAATAAATAAAAAATCCGTTATACATATAGTCGGTATAAAATAAGTACCTATTTAATTATTTTTATATTTCTAGTATAATTTTTCTTTTGCATACAAAATAAATAATTTTGTATTTGTTTTATATTTAAATAAATCCTACATCTACAGCGCAATGATGTTTCTCAGGGTTCGAAAATAACAAGACATTTAAAGCGTCTTCAGGTTAAACAACATGGTAGGTTTTTTCATTCAAAGAAAATATTTAAAAATATAAAATTACGTTAGTATTTTTATTTATTATACTATTAATTAATTATAAATGATACCACATTCCTATTTTAAGAAGTTATTATATCCAACTCTTGTTCGGCCCTTGGCGTGTCACTGGTTGTACAAGGTGAGATATCTGATTTTATTACTTGGACTGAAGCATGTTGAAGTTGAAGTCTTACCAGACGACATGAATGTAGG